CAACTCGGACACAAAGGCAAGCGGGAAAATTACCCCTAAATGTGCATAGTGACAGCGAGAGCTGAAAATTTTTTTCTTCCCTTTTTTGTCTCATCACTGGCAAATGGTGGGCGGTGCGTGATGATAGCTGCATTTATTACCGGGGTATGTTGTGATTTTACGGTATGTTAGACAGGTTTATAATACATTTTTATTATTTTAATTTACCAGTAATCTTATTTTTAATCCAGCTTCCCAAACTAAAGTTTCAGTATAAAATAATTAGTGGTAAGACCATGTGAGTGTTTTACGATGTTCTCCATCACCACTCTTGACACGCTAAACCACAATATGTAAGAAGTAAGAATTTTATACCTGGTATTTAAGACGACCCCTAATTTTGGGCTGATCTTTTTAAGGTTCAAACTCCGTCTTATAGGCCGAGATATACGGTAAATTTTATTACCGGTAATAATATCAACAAATATTTGATAATAGGTCCATAAAGTGATAGCGAGCTGTGGTAGTGAAAAACATGATAGCATATAGCCAGTGATTTGGCTATGCCAGTACAGTAAGCTATTAAATCTGAAAAAAAAAAAAAATCTCCAAAATACACCTTGCTAAATATAGGGTGCATTTTATGACCAGGGAAATATGGTGATCTGTACTGTCCTGTAGTGTAGACTCCTCTTGATCCCTGGCATACAGCCTCAGATTTATTTTATTTATTTTCCATGGCAATCCATGAGTTTCCAAGAGACGCAAGCTTTAAAACTGCGAGCTTTAAGGGAATACTGTACTCAAATTAATCACCGTCTTGTAAGGATTCCAACAATACAAATTATATTTTTCTACATCAAGTCAGTGACATTTTATAATGAAACAATATTTAATCCTATGCACTATACATCTCTCACTGCACTTGTCAGCTGCGGTAAATCTACCCACGCGCTGCCATATGGCCAACCAGCACACTACAGTCCTGCGCTTGGTACTTTGTCAATCGCATTTCTCCACCATCGTGTAGCTCCACAATTACTGTTCAACATCATTGGCTGCATATACAACAAAAGACAAAAGTCATGAAGTGAAATTTGGTGAAAACATATGCCGAAGGGCTAAACTTTTGGTGCGCTCTGCCTTGTGGTAGGGGGCTCTCATAATGTTTCACGAGTTATATTTAATCTTCGGACAAAACAGCGATACGACTTTTGTCTTTTATTGTATATTGTACTTATCATGGGTGTTTTTTTATTATAGTGAGAGGACAGCACTAACTTTTAGATTGAACTGTGCTATGTTGACTGTGAAGTGATATTTTCTGTGTTTTTGTGACTGTAAAGTAGGCAGTGTAACTTTAGAAAATGTCTGGAAAGGCCAAGGCATCCAAGACAACAGTGTCTCTGAGGTAAAGCTTGACATTGTGAAGCAGCATGAGACTCCCCAGGGGCTGTGTGAGAGAGTGATGTCACCACTCCACCTACAAGTCCTCTTAGCCTTGAAGGGGATATTTGATGATGACCAGGCATATTCTTATAATGTGGTGAGTATTGTTTAATTGTTTTCTATTGATTTTATAAATGTACGAATTTTTTTAGTCAGTGATACATGTGTGTTTGAGGACTGGTTCGGAATGTATCTTATTTAACCCCACAATATAATGCTCCCTATTTCCGATATTTCACTAAGCGATGGGTTTTTCAGGAACCTAACCCCATCGTTTATTGAGGTTTATCTGTACCACTTTAAAAAAAAAAAAAATAAGAATTCTAATTAACTTCAATTAGTTTCAATATTAAACAATTAGAGAATCATTGTGAATTTTACAGAAAAGAATCCCAGACTACAAACATACAAAGTCTAAGGCCTAAATTCCATTTAATTATGCAAAAAAGAATCAGACACTCCCCTGATACCACTCTATGTACTTAAGGGATCTGAATAATAAATAATAATAACGCAAAGAATTCTTTTACATTACAACAGTTATCCCGAGTATCTTTAACAACTTTGCAAATACTATACTGACAACTTGATGTTACAAACTGCAACATGCCTACACCTCCCAAAACCAATTCTGAGCCTAAAGACAACACACATACACCAGATTAAGTTAAGCAGGCTTGTACAGAGTGCATAATTAGTAACAATAGGGATCTACGATAACCTGAAAAAAATCAAACATGCAAAAATAAGTTCCTCTTACCGATTCCATATCTCCTTGACCAAGAGGCTTGAGGGAAGTTAGTGAGATAATACAAGTTAGTTAGATAATACTAGAAAAGCAGGAGAGACAAAGAGATGTCAACAATATGATACAGAGTGCACACAGCTGACCCAGTTATAAACAGTAAGTAAAGAGATGAAGTAATACTGTACCACCATCAACATAAACACACACACACACTGTCTTTAAACTGTCTACATTCATCTTAACTTAAAGCTGGAGAAGCATTCATGCTACATATTTTTTTTTCCTTTACACTCATTAATAATTGATTTATAAAAACTAATCTCAGACAGTAAAGTGTGAGGTTTGATAAACTGTTGTGGCAGTAATGTTTAAACACAAAGCTCTCCAACAAACAACATGAGAGTTAAAGATACGTATGATTGAACCACAAAATATCTTAGTATTACAGTGCTAAGTTATATGCACATGGAACATGAAAATATTATGAAGAAGAAACTTCAAGTTATTGGGAGGAAAAAAACAGTTGATATATAAATACCTGTACTGTACTGACAAAAGATAAATACAGTATGTTTACTTTACCAAATTGAAGCAATAAGACTAAGACAAAAGACAATTTGCAGACTTGAATACAATACTGTACAAAACAGACTGGTCAGGGAATCAATGAGGTGAATGAGCTAACGGGTAATTGTATCCTGGAATTAAACCTTTGAGTGTAAACAATTATAATTATGTATTCAGGTGGGCTAGCCTTTTGTACTAACAGGATTAGTGATTTTATCTTCATTTTATGGGGGTTAAGTTACTCATACTCAAGAGGTAAGTCCTTATACTCAAGAGGATAAGTCCTCATATTCAAGGGGGTAAGACCTCATACTGGAATAAGACTTCATACTCAAGGGAATAAGACCTCAAACTCAAGGGAATAAGTCCTCATACTCAAGGGAATAAGACCTCAAACTCAAGGGAATAAGTCCTCATACTCAAGGGAATAAGACCTCATACTCAAGGGAATAAGACCTCATACTCAAGGGAATAAGACCTCATACTCAAGGGAATAAGACCTCAAACTCAAAGGAATAAGACCTCATACTCAAAGGAATAAGACCTCATACTCAAAGGAATAAGACCTCATACTCAAGGGAATAAGACCTCAAACTCAAGGGAATAAGTCCTCATACTCAAGGGAATAAGACCTCATACTCAAGGGAATAAGACCTCATACTCAAAGGAATAAGACCTCATACCCAAGGGAATAAGACCTCATACTCAAGGGAATAAGACCTCATACTCAAGGGAATAAGACCTCATACCCAAGGGATTAAGACCTCATACTCAAGGGAATAAGACCTCATACTCAAGGGAATAAGACCTCGTACTCAAGGGAATAAGTCCTAGTACTCAAGAGGTTACATCCTCACACTCCAGGGGTTAAGCTCTTATGGACTATTCAAGGGGTTAGATCACCCTACTCTGGGGGGTTAACATCAAAATGAGTACCACTAAAGGTTTCCACGAGACTGGTTTTCTTGGAAGCTCCTCTCTCCTCTCATTAGTGACCATGACACAACAACCTCCAAGCCACCCTATCACTACACATCTCCCTTACCCTTCCTATTACCCCATGTCCCACTCCAGCTCCTCTTCTAAATGTTGGTGGTCTTCCTCTACTCAACACACCTGCCATAATGCCTCACTTTAACCTCTTTACAAGCATATCCTTTACGTCACCGAGACAAAATCAATTCAAACAATCATGCCTTGTTTAAGGGGGATAATCAAAATCTGGTTAACTGGGACCAATTGGTAACGTCTGGCTAACTGGGGCCAATCAGTAACGTCTCGCTAACTGGGATCAATCAGTAACTTGTGGCTAACTGGGACCAATCAGTAACTTGTGGCTAACTGGGACCAATCAGTAACTTGTGGCTAACTGGAATCAATCGGTAACTTGTGGCTAACTGGGATCAATTAGTCACTTCTGGATAACTGGGATTAATTAGTAACCTCTCACACTACCAATCTTAACCTTTACAGTGCTGTCTCCCCACTGCCAATGATCCCTCCGGAGTATTTATGGAAAATTCTGAGAGATGTGGGATAATTAAAATCATATATTCCATGGTGGTAATATTGATGACATACATTGAAAGGACCAATGCGTGAAAGCCTGAAAATTTCAATGGGTCGGTTTGGCTCTTGTCAACACACAGGGAGGAGCTGTCACTTTTTCATAATAAGCAATATTAACCACTTGAGTGTAAGCAGTGAATCACCTGAGTACACTACCGTTGTATTCAAGGGAAGAGGTTATTGTATTCAAAGGGTTAAGACACTACAGTATTCAAGAAATTAAGTCACTGTATGTAAGGGGCTAGGTTATGGTACTAAAGGGGTTAAAATATCATAATCAATGGCCAAATCATCTTAATCATGATGCTGGCATGATACTGATGAGGTTATATATGCACAGGAAGAATGTGACTAAGTCTCAGTCAGTAGGACAAACCAATGCAATGCAATACAAGTAATGAGGAGAGAGAGACAGGAAAAGGATAAAATACCAAGAATAAACAGCAATTTTGGAGATGGTAGTATGTTGAAGGTTAAAAAGGGGGTATCAGAGACCTGTAGCAAAATACAGCAGTGTTGCAGTGTGTCCATGATCAAGTGGAGTTACCCACAAGATAAAAGTTAATATGTCTACATTATTAAAAAACAAAAATATTACTATCAATTTAGTTAATTTTCTAACACTTCTTCTAACTTTATTCCTATCTCATAACACAGTTACAATACCACCTTGTTGGGCACATCTTACCGAACATTCTCTTCGTGACGACTGAACACAACCCGAGTCATCATTTCGAATGCAACACCCCGTTTCTCTCTCCGCTCTCCGTTGTTCCTCTACATGTCTGAATATTTTTTCATCCTTCCTCATACATGGTGCAAATTTGGCTCCTAAGTGTATAAGATCAGCCTGTAAGAGAGATAGTTTAAAAGAGTGAAAAGGTTGTCCCTTGAGAAATTAAAGTCACGCTCCATCCTTAATACAGTATACACCAACTCAACATCATTTATCTAATTATCCCAATCCAATTTACAGGCAATCATAGAAGAGGTTCACACACACAAATTAAACATCACACAATTTCTAAACATTTATGCTATTTCCTCCTCTGTTATATACGGTATCTCTCACAATGAAGATGAACCTTTCACACACAAATGAATCGTCCTCCCTATATACCTTCCTAATTTATGTCATGAGTGCTAATCAAATTCTTCTGCACACACTATTCTCAATGTATCAAAACATAAAACATCCTTGACTTTTAAAGCCATCTTGCTCTTCTCAAATCAGCATCTCTATCAACAATATGGAACACAATCACCCTCACTACTCTTATCTGGAAGTATTATACATAATGGAATTTTTTCTCTTTATTTTTGCATACAATTTTCCAGTATGAAGCTGTATATACAGACCGGAATCTAGAGGAAAAAACAGACTCTCCTTTCACCGATTCTTTTTACAACTCTGCCATCTGTATGACCCACCTGATGCCTTGCTCTCCTACAGATTCACCTCCTCTACTGCCTAATGTATGTCCATTCTCCTCCCTTCTGGTACTTACTTCACCCCATCTTTCCATCCCATTTGTCAGCTTTCCCTTTCTTTCCTACTCTCTAACTCTGAAATATGTGCAATCTTCTAAACCAGTACAGTATTTCACTTTCTATTCTCTAAATACATCCAAATCATCTTCACAAATCATGGTCAGTTCCATCCAATCTTTCTTTCACTTCCACATCTGGGTCTAATTCCTGTATTTCTTATTCCCGTTATCCTCACCAAATTATTGTATTAACATATATTTCCCACGTTGTCTCAAGCCACTGGGTACAGCATTTCCTTTCCAACTGCTGTGTTAGACTTAAACCTATTACATTCTATACTTGTCTTGTGCTAATTTGTCCCAGCGTTTCTCCCTTTCTGTGAGTCATCTTTGCTCCTTGTTCCAACTGAACCCACATAAAAGTGAGAAAGAAATGAAAATAGTAGAGAAAAACATACAATAGTTCAATATACCTAAGGTATCAGGAAGCACAAAATCCAATTCAATATCAATTACAGTATATCATGTGGTATCAATCCAGCTTTTGAAAGAAAACAGAATTTTTGTCATCTCCTGATACAGGTCTAGTCATCCAGGTTTTGAGAGATCATAGTTTGTATGCATTCATGCTGTACATAAAGAACTGAGTAATTCATATTTTTCAAAAGCTTTTTACTAAAGTTGGACATTCCTGACTCTCATATACCGTAACTACAGTGGTCCCTCAGTTAACGAACAGTTCGATTAACGAAATCCTTACGACAAACACATTTTGTTGTGAGCATCAGCTGATCGGCTAGTTACAGTAATTGGTTCTATGTTTACATTTGTTTCCAGTGAAGTAAATATCAAGAAAGTTGGTCTCTTGAAAATTTCTGCATTTTTTATATTAAAATTATTGGTCATTCTGAAATTTAGTTAACATATTGATAATATAGACAGTACAGGGAACAGTTTTTGTGCACCCATCAGCTGATTGAATCACCCAACAACGCTTCTCAGTTTAACTTTGTTTACAGTGGAAAACATAAATTTTGTTGGTCTCGAATATTTTTGCATTTTTACATTAAATTTATTGGTCATTCTGAAATTTAATTAACATATTGATAATATACAGTGCAGAAATTATTATGAAACATGAAGAAGGCATTAGAACCAATGCCTCTACAATCAGCTGTTTGATATGTAAACAAAGCTGCCGGTAATACGACATACACACCTCAAAGTAAGTTAAAATACAGTATTCTATTGTTTTTTATTTATTATTGTACAGTATACTGTACAGTACAGTACTGTATTTGGTTTAAATTTAATGTTTTGCTAATTCTATCACTGGTATACAGTACTTTGTATGTACTTTTTCTGTGAGTTGTAACCAATTTCCCAATATCCCATTGAAATAATAGATTCGGTTAACGAACGACTCTGTGGAACGATTGTGCTCGTTTACCGAGGGACCACTGTACAGTACAATAATAAGCCAATAAGCCAACTCACCGCTCTAGGACCTATCCAGAAATTTGAGGGTTCCCAGTAGTCCACAGTTTGGATTGATAAGCTGGCCATCAGGACCTGGGAACAAGAAATACTGTTAGAGAAATCTCATATATCCATGAATGAAGCTTCCATATACAGTATTGTTACGTACAATGTATCTCATGAAAGAACTACCCTTAACAACCAATTACTTCATGAGGTGTACGCCCCTGCCGGACGTACTGTAACTGGTATGTATTCTTGATATATATTGTATGATTACATATTTTTTCAGACTAGAATTGATTTTTTTGGGGGTGAATAGTTTTTATATTAAATTCTGTAATACTGTAATGGCATGAACAATGACATGTTAAGTACGATGTTTGGGTCAGTCTGCTCAAAGCAACCCATAGAAGCCGACGGCTTCAGAGCCCGGTCAGTAGCTCACAAGCTTGGGTAGTCATTGGACCTTCACCACTGGCCTGCGTTGTCAGATGACTTCTGTCTTCGATCGGGTGATGTACTCATGGTATTCATTGTTGAGGCTGGCTGGCTGTTTTGGTGCTTTATGTATTTATGTTCTAGAATCGTGTTGTGATTTGGTTGTCAGTGATATTGGCAACCTTAAAGTTACCGAGTATGTTCATGTGATTAGCTTTATTTCATTGTTATTGGTGGTAAGTGTTTGTAAATATAGTTATACATTTTAATTAAGTTTCTTTACTCCAATCATCAAGTATTCATTTATTAAAAGGGGCTGCATTCAATCCATACATTACACCGTAGTTTGTTATGAACCTTACCCCTTTGACACGTAACAGTACAGTACAGGTACTCCTCGACTTACGACCTATTTCGACATACGACCGCCGCAGTCGTACAAAAATTTTTTTAAATTCCGTACGTATTTTCTAGTACCGAAACGTTTCCGTCCCTTATGACAGCGTGGCGTGGGCTGGGCCGCCTCGTGGTGTACAGCGTCCACGCCGTAGCGCGCTCAGTTGGTGTTTGGCCGTCGTTGTTGTCGGTAGTGATCGCGCTGTGTACTGACAATATGTTTGTTTCAAATTCCCTTTAAAATGAATGGCAAGCATAAAAGTGAGAGTTCTGGTGGTGCTCAGAAGAAAAAGAGACAGTCAATTACTTTTGAGATGAAAATGAAAATAATAATGCAATATGAAAATGGAAAAACGGTAGCAACCATTTCATGCGACCTAGGCTTCTCTCACTCGACGATATCAACAATTTTGAAGGACAAGGAACGAATTCGTGAGGTAGTGAAAGGATAAGCACCTATAAAGGGAACAATGATAACTAAAAAAAGACAAGGCCCTATTCATGAGATGGCAAAATTACTTGTGGTGTGGATGGAAGATCAGCTGCAAAAGCGTGTACCCTTAAGCCTTCTAACCATACAGGCTAAGGCAAGAAGCCTTTTCGAAAGCCTGAAGGAGCAGGCAGGAGATGAGTGCGACCAAAACTTCACAGCAAGTCATGGGTGGTTCCAAAGGTTTAAGAACCGTTACAGTTTGCACAGTGTAAAGGTGAGTGGAGAGGCAGCAAGTGCTGATGTGGGTGCTGCCGAAGGTTTTAAGGAGGGGCTAGATAGTGTCATCGTGGAGGGAAATTATTTGCCTGAGCAAATATTTAATGTGGATGAAACTGGCTTACTCTGGAAGCACATGCCAGAATGAACATACATCCACAAAGAGGAGAAAACCATGCCAGGATTCAAGGCAATCAAGGACCGAATCACACTTCTGTTGGGGGGGGGAAGGTAGCTGGTTTCAAGGTAAAACCCTTCATGATATATATCATTCAGAGAACCCAAGGGCTTTTAAAATGTCAGCAAGCACACACTGCCATTGTTTTATCGCAGTACTGTAATAAGAAAGCATGGATGACCCTAGCACTGTTTAAGGATTGGTTCCTGAGTTGTTTCATTCCACGAGCCAAGGAGTATTGTCTGCAACAAAGGGTTGCATTCAAGATTTTATTAATTTTAGATAATGCTCCGGGACACCCACCACACCTGGACGACTTGCACCCTGATGTTAAGGTAGTCTACATTCCACCTAACACTACCTCTTCATTCAACCCATGGTTCAAGGTGCTATTGCAGCTTTTAAAGAGTATTATTTATGTACGACCTTCGCTCAGGCTGTTGCTGCTACTGAAGGTGAGAAAACGCTCGGAGAGTTTTGGAAGGACTACAACATTTTGAAATGTATAAAGAACATAGCTGCAGCATGGGATGAGGTTACAGGCCAGTGCATGAATGGAATATGGAAGAAGGTCCTGAAAAGATATGTGAACAGTTTCAAAGGATTTAATGAAGATGAAGCAATTTCTGAGATTAGTAACAAGATAGTGGAGTTGGGTAAACAGCTGGAGTTAGAAATTGATAATGAAGATGTTGGTTGAAAGTGTAGCAGAAGAGCTAAATAACGAGGATCTTATTGAACTGGATGCACAGAAAATTGCAGAGGAAGAAGAGACAAAATGTAGAAGAACCTGCACCCCCCAAAAAATTTTCAGTGAAACAAATGGCAGAGGCATTTGTTACTATTAATAAGGAGATGCAAATGTTTGACGAAATGGATCAAAATGTTGAGCGCTTTGCAAAAGTTGACAGAATGATCCAAGATGCACCTGCTTGCTACAGGGAGATTTACAATGAAAAGAAAAGGCAACTTGAGCAGTCTAAATTGGACACATATTTTAAGAAGTCCCCCACTGCTGTCTCCTCACGCCCCACCACTGCTGCCTCTTCACTCCCTAATGATGATCCAATACCTTCAACAAGCAAGTATGTTAGCCTGTCTGAAGAAAGCGAAATTGATGACCCACCTAGCCCCGTCTCCTCCTCTGCTTCATCCAATTAATGTAGTCTCCATGTTTAATTAAAAAATTATTGAGGCCCCGTGTACATTCAGCTGACTACATTAAAGGCAAGTACGCAGTAACACTTTATTCATTTTTCATTATTGATTACTTTTACTGTACGGTATTTCATTTTAGATTTTCTGTGTAATATTTTCGCATTTTCGACTTACGATCTGGCCGTTGGTCCCTAACCCCATCGTAAGTCGGGGACTGACTGTACAGTACCATATGAATTCTTTTTTTTTTATCTACATGAAAGTTGTTTGGAATTATCAAAAAGAAGATCAACTAAATGTTGATATATCAATACTTTTGAATATGGTACACAAAAATATTACTAGTACATGATGGAAAAAAAGAGAGAAACACTAGCACACAGTTTCTCATGAGAGAGTGAACTATAGCCATGTTGCCCAGTTTTCTTCAATTTCAACTCTTCAAAATATGTCACCAATCTCCCATACTCAATTATTTACCTCCCAGATGAAGGACTGTGCAATCTTCAACAGACAAAACAATAATCCAAATCACTGGTTTGTTGAATCTATCAAATATTAATCTAAGGGTCTGTGAATTTTCAATTCTTACTAAAGCCAGGCAAGTCCAATAAAATTGCTGGTCAAGACCAAAATTGATAAGAATTCATCACCTGGACTGGATATAAATCACTTGTATGACAACACTCACACACCCCATATTTGTAACATCATCCCCTCCCACACTGGCTAGTTGTGACCTTTTGGCACAGAAGAACCGCATTATATATTTTTTTTGCTTTGGATCGATTTTTCGGCAGCCTGTTTATTTTTTTAATTTTAACCCAACTACATTCTATGTAAAATTGGTTGCTTTACATTGAAGACTAAAAATTTGAAGACAAAAGAGATAATGTGAAGTTATGCATATAGTTCTCACCACAAACAACAGGTAAGCACATTACATAAAAAGCAGACATTTTTAAGCTTCATACTGGTGAAATCAGAAATTGTGATAGGTGTATTAATAAGGCTAATAAATAAAAAAAAAATCCAAAACTGTTCATTCTTTTTGTTATTCCATTGGTTAGTATAAGTGTCTAGGTACAGTATATTAAAGCAACTTTAGGATTTTGTTAGCATGTTGGGTTTGGCTGTAAGTGATTTTAGAATAAAAAAAAAATCCATTCCCAGCAGGTTACACACAAACCGTTACAAATTTGAATCAGTAAAATATTGAAAAATAAACTAAACCATTTTATAAAAACTAATATTGTACTGTAAACATTTACAAAAAAATTTCAGGCAAATATTACTACACAATGGAGGGAAGGAGTCTGTGAGAGGGACAATGAGAGAAAATTTAAAGGGAAAGAGAGCAGCACCTTCTGGAGTGAGTGCTCATGCCTCATGTTAGGAAGGGTTCCCTTAATATATCTAATTAGTGTTGGATTACCATGAGAGCTAATGGTTCAAGAAGTAACATTAAAATTTCACACATTAATCATAATTTATTTATTTGGAGTGACTAGAGAATGGCGTCAGTGACAATTGGACAAGACTAAAAATTAACTCGGATATTGATAAAAGTAAACTCAGTCTACTGTAGGAGGAAATCCATTGATATTTCCGGTGTTAAACCTGTTACTGTATTACACCTTTACAATATTTCACCCATCTATGTTTTCTGGTTCCTTGCCATCATTGTTTCTCAAATTTGTTACACTGAGGTTAACCCACAGAGGAAAGGAAAATGATGATGGTGATAATGAAAATGGTTTGTCCAATACAGTACTTAGTAATTTTTAGAGGAAAGACTTGCATTTTCTTGCTGCTTGTTGGGTTTGAAGGTCCACAAACTAACTGTAAAGGTCTCCATTTTCAACACTTCCTATTCCTCCACACCAGTCTTATACTTTACATATTTCTACTATCACTAGGGACTCCTGGAATCTCTTGCACAATATTCTCCCTATTAGGTCACTCTTAATTCATAGGTATTCTAGCATGGGCAGTAATATCTTTTAAATTCGTGTTGTATCTCTCCCAGCACCGATTAAGTAATGGAACTTGTGGAAGATGATTTTTTATAAAAAAATATATATATATATATATATATACAGGTATACTAGAAGAAAAAAAAGCAAAGAAAACAAAAAACAAATTTATGATCTTCAGTACCATTCGTTAACCCTTTAACTGCTATCATTGTCTTCAGATAATCTAGCATAAAAGCATCATTGTTGCCTTAAGACAATTGGCCACTGACGCCATGAATTTAATGCCGAGCGTCAAAAATCATACTAAGAATCACTATATATATATATATATATATATATATATATATATATATATATATATATATATATATATATATATATATATATATATATATATATATATATATATATATATATATATATATATATATATGCTCACTTTCCGCGGTGTTGTACCCTTTTATGTACCCTTTTACGCGGAGAGCGGCGCGAGCAGGGTGCGCACAAGGTCGCCCAGTCATCAAAACATTACCGAGTTCTTCACCCGCCACCCACCACAGCCGGCCCAAGTCAGTGATAATGATAGTGAGGATATGGATGGATATGGACTTTGAGGGGTTTGACAAAGAGGCCCTGCAAGCCTCTGTGGTGGATAGTGATACAATTGATACAAGTGATACAGGTGAGGGCCAATAATCTGCCCTCTGCCTCGGAACCAACCCCCATCCCCGTGTGCCCAGCCATCTTTTCTACTAATGTAAGTGTTAAAAACCTAATATTATTGATATTTCTCTAATTATTAATTGTGTGTGCATACCATCATAAAATTAAGAAGTTATTTTTACTACAACGCACGATGTCTGAAAAAGTGGAGTTTGGGGGTCGGCCCAGTCTCTATTTCAATTAATCCCATATGATTATGTTGTTCACTTCACGCTCACTTTACACCGCCGTGAGTTGAATTAACGCGTAAAGTGGGGTTCTAGATATATATATATATATATATATATATATATATATATATATATATATATATATATATATATATATATATATATATATATATATATATATATATATATATATATATATATATATATATATATATATATATATATATATATATATATATACGGTAAACTTTCAAACATCAAGTTTTTCCCAGCATATATCGTGTACCTTTGATTTTCCAAATACTGCAGTTACTGGGTTAACATATGGGAATGACACAAAAAAACTGATTCCTTCAATCATGCTATATTAAACAGACAATTGTTACATCATCATCCTATATGACAAACCTATGACACTCACAAACTGATTATAAGATGCTGGCCAACAGACGACCGTCAGATCTTTCTATAAGAACGCCTGTTATGATCTCAAATAGTGTGACACAAACCTGTCCTGACTGTTGCTTCAGAGTGAAGCCCTGAGGAGCCAGACCATAACACATGATGGAAAGCAGGAGGATGAACACTTGTACGGTTGTGACCCACCAGGTGAAGTACGGCCGGTAATCATTCATCTCATCTAGTTGTTTCTTTACCTGCAACAAAATCATGAAAGGTTGGTTAGGTGCTAAGTTAAAGAGCGTGAGAAGTGTCAAATATTATAACATTATTTAACTTTGTTGGAAATTTTAAAAAACCACATGCACACCTTTATGTCTCTTAACAAATGTGCAATTTTTTTTTACCAATCTAGTTGATTATGAACATGAAGCAAATTTATGGAATTTTTTTTAAGTAACTGCTGACTCAACTATATCGTTCAAAAATACCATCTATCTCGCCCTTCACCTACACCATTTTGTGACAAAATGGTAACAGTACTGTATATTAGTAAATACAACAGCAAAGAGAACTGGTCTGTCATTTTGATAACCAAATTGACCTCTCCATTAAATGAAAGTTGAGCTACAAGTGGCATGTATGGGTACATCATGAATGCAATAACCTTAGAGTAAAAACAGTGAATGTCACAAACTGATGAAAGACTAGACTGAAGGACATCAACTTCTGTTTCACATAAAATTTCTTACCAATCTCACAAAAATTAATTAAATATCAAGGAACATGCACAACAATCTGTTTCAAGAATTCCCAAATTGGAATAAATGCTACAGCAATACAGCACCGTATATGTATGTTTACATGAATGTTCGGAGATACTGGACCTGATTACTTATAAAAGTTAAAAAATGACTGGTGTGAAACTAAATAAGATTCCCAAATGTAATAGTTGGTCAAGAATGAAAATAAATATTAGAAAAAATGAAGTCACAGCAAAACAAAGTGTTCCAACAACAGCAGACTGCAGGTCAAATGGTAAGAAGTCCTAACAAGTTCCAACTAGATTTATTGTGGCAGTTTGAATTGTGACTTGGTCCATATGCATCTAATCCTAATAGTCTCATTAAATGTGCATAGGATGGGGTCCATTTCACCTGTCTATCATATAAGGTAACACTAACATAACTGTACATCATACTTACATCTTTGTCTTTCTTAACACTCTCCTTGAATGTTCGCCTAAAAATTCTACCCATGATTCCTCTGCCATATTGTCTTCGATCAGAGTTATCAAAACAGCTATCCAAAATTCGATTCCAGATACGCGAGCGACCGATGTGAGCGCTCGATCGTCCGCTAGCATCAACCGAGTCCGACACCTGTACGGCCGGTCTTTGCCACTCTTGAACACTGGGGTGGTACCTTGCTCCTCCAACCTAAAGGAAACAAAAGTTCTCTAGTGATCATGTGTCACTCTTGCCTGGTTGTGGCATATTACAAATCAAAGACCACAATTCTACTAAATAGTGGTGGTGTAAACCATCATAGCACATACACATCACCCACCAATATATAGTAAAAATCTGATAAGGCAAGTTTTTACATCAAGAATTGTTGTAATGTTACAAAGTCAAAGGGGATATTTATTAGTTCTGGCATGGTAAAGCTGGAGACATCATGAGAAATAATAAGCGGATGAGCCAAAAAAGGTAACAAGAGCACAGAGTAAAAGGAAATGCAGTTGTGCCAAAATAATGAGAGTATGTGGGGGATATCTAAGAAAGGATGATGAGCTATGACAGTGTGAGAGCTGGAGAATGAAAGCATCAAAGGCAGTCATCTCATCAGCTCTACAGTATTTGCCACAGCTGAGAGCATCGATAACCTACCACCTTGGTAGCCACAGAGAACACTACAAATAGTCATGACTTTTGAAAAAAAATAAAAAATAAAATAAATAAATAAATAAAAATAAATCTTCAGTTATATAGTCTCATAGATAATTTAACATGGGATAAATATTCTAATAAACAAGAGTGAAAAAATCAGTGTTTTACTGTTTAAAAACATCAGAAAGTTTGTATCTCATATTATGTGTGTAGCTACATCTTGTTGAAATTTTTTAATATCTCGAGTTATAGCTAAATAACCATGTTGTAGTTTGACAACACAGTAGACTACAAAAAAGTTAAGGATCATGGTCCTAGCTGGTTGCATCACAAGGGTTATAGGAATGTAACCTTGAGATCCATCACATTTCCTTTGTACAGTATATTATTTGTGTCAAGTTTTATAAAACTACAGTACATATAAAAAATTTGAATTTATTAAAAAAAAAATTAATTCTACAATTTTTATTACAGATAGACAAACTGCTATAAAAAACACAATACTGTATTGTATTGTACTATACTGTACCTCTTAAAAAAATTGAAGTTCCTGCTAACTTATTATTGTCCACCAAGGACAGTAACACTCTCAGTACTGTACCGTACACAAAACAACTACTTCAAACCACAATATACTATTTATCATAAATAACTGATCCAATCCAACTTAAGTTATCATATGGTGTCTAATAAGCTTGAATTAACTACGATAACTCTGTATACCAAAGATAAATTTATGTCAACTCCTAGGAAGACATTTGAATGTTTCCATCACTTCAACAATAAATACTGTTACTTGTAAGGATCTACTCAGCAAGTCCCATCAATCCAATACATTAGATGTGCATACAACAAGGTTTTAAATCAGCCTCAAGAAGGTGTAGCTGGGCAAGCCTTGAGAGATTTTACATAGGTAGAAATATTTTTGCATGAAAAATTGGGCCAATAAATCTTATTACAGCTACAGCAAGTTGTAATTAGCATTATATTTACCTAGTATATTGTTTCTATGGCAAAAAGTACACTGGTCCCTTTTGGATCAGGGCTTTTCTAACATTCAGATGCTGACAGGATGGAGGGGAGAGTATACTGCCCTCTAACAGCTTAACAATACACTAAAAACATGGATACATAACTTTCAATATATGCTAACCCCTGATGGTGAAGGAAGGAGCAAACTTAAAGGACCCAAGTCTTAGGGGGTTAATGAGTGTAGACATTAACACATGATACTAGACACTCACTTCTTTACTACTATCATAACTAGCAGTGCCAGTCACAGCATCAGGACTCCCTGCTACCTTGCTGTCAAAGAACACCTGTAAAGACACCACAGGATGATTACAAATTGTGAATTAAACCTCTTCAAACTTTATAATTCATCTGACATGATACAGCTCGATGAAGGCTCTATTTTCATTTTATTTTCTACATCCTCAAAATTTTATAGGCATCTATGACAGTGATGCCAGTTAATATACTGATTCTAATACACATTACTGTACTCATAATTAATATTTCATTCTACCTTAACAACACACTCTAAACTATTCACACACATGAGCATGCAACATATTATGCACATCATACTTACTTCATCTGAAAGCGACTCCATAGTATAATGATCCACAGGTGGGGTGGGGCGCATGGTTGCCGCGGTGGTTGTTGTGGTGGTGGTGGCAGTTGTGGTGGGTGACACATCAGGCTCGTCAAACACGTCATCCGCGACAGACATGGATGATGGGGCATAACTGCGACTTTTAGACCGGCCGCCAGCAGTGCCTGATATTTGACTCTTGGCTCTCCGCTTTGCAACCGTCTGTAAAGATATTCTACATTAATTTCTATGACACTGAGCTTATTCCTGGATAAGATGTTCAGCATTAATGCCTTCAGTAAAAATATAGCAATAATGAGCACCTACAAAAACTACAATCTGTAGTCAGGAACTTGCAACTTTATTATGTGACCAGACATTCACTAGGTACAAATCCATCTAGTGCCAAATTTGCATTACCTTGTCATGGTATGGAGGCTCGAACGAACTACTTTCAAATACCTTGGATGGGTATAAAGTTTTCTGTCTTGTAACCTCAAATGAGGAGGTTGAAAGTGGATCTTTGCTAAGCATACAAATTCTTCACAGAGTTGGGCTGGTTCTTTACCAGAGTGAAGTACGAACAACATATACACCCCCAAAGTTCATTCCAAACTTTTTCTACTCCCTTTAAATTATTCTTCTGTATACTATAACAATCTCCAATCATTGAAAATACAACATTCTACATCAGGTTGGTCAACTGAGACAAAATCTGTTTTTAGTTCTTGCTTGCTTGGTGTCAAGAGATGACCAGACACCAACACAGCTCCCACTATCTCCTTCATTCAAACACAACTCTGCACCCTGTCAAACACAACAAAGCTACAGCAACTTGTGGTTAAAAGAAGTATGGAATTAGCAGAGAAGAATGTGCAGCACATTCAAAGAAACCACAACATAAAGAGACAAACTTAATAATACTAACCCAAACAGTGTAACATTAACAAACTCAGAGGATTGTCTGATAATCAGATCTAGTAAAGCGAGGATAAAAAGTTACAGTAATATGACACTGTAATAAGCTTTAACGAGTAATGTAAGAGTTCATAATGATCATGAATGTCACAGTTGCTTGCTGTTTGTGATTGTGACACTAAAGTTTTATAAATGGTGTAACAGTCAATATACTGTACACCAATCAAAATATTATAAGTTTAATAATTATCATACAGCACTCTATACAATTACAGGATGCACGATGATGATAAAGAAACAAATAGGTTTCAAAACTTTACTTTATCAGTTTTAAAAATTCAGTACTGGTGCTACTAAATTTAACTGAATAGCAAAGTAGTGTGTGGTATCCCACCAAAACACATACAGTACATCAAAACAGTCTTTGGCTACAACAACTAAAGCAAATCTACATGCCTGGTAACTTAATGTTCTGTCAACATCAACAGACTACAGTTTCAAGAATCAAGAGCAAAGGTTACCTTAACAAGGTTTCGATATCAGCATATAAACTTACAGAAACTACAAATGAGAGGCCATCCCAAGTCATCTTGGCAACTGAGTCCTTCCCTCGGTGAGGTGGTTGCGGCAATGATGCTCCATCTATGGAGTCCGGTAGACCACCGCCCAATCCCTCCTGAAGCTGAAACAATTATTAAAAATACAGAGGTATTAACAGAGATGTAAAAAAAAATAAATAAAAAATAAATACTGTGCTGACATTCTTTTTCTTAAAAGTGATGACGATACACTTGTCAAGAAATGAATGTCCTTTGAACTATCTTAGATGTCAGAGTAAAATTCCTGTGTCTGGAAATCACAAACTGTTTAAAAAACTGTAATTTACAATACAGTACTGTACCTATGACTTAATGTTGCAATAATCATAAGACACCACCAAGTATGGGGTGGTGAGCTCCCCAGACCACCCAGCTGGTCAGAACCAACACTGCCACTTCCCCTCATGACCTCCTCTCCTCTATTTATATCTCATGATTTTATTTACACTTCTATTACAGGATCCCCATTGTAATTAACCTGCAGGCGTTCTTTTACCCAAGGGGTTCATGCCCTAGATGCTGCCAATATCCAACTTGTTTTACTTACTAAATGCAACATCATTAACTAAAAACTCAGGAGTGGGGAAAATGTCATAACTGTAGTGATATTCCTCCTTCCCAAAATCAACTGAACTTAAAGGTACATAGCCTTTTGACTTTGATTCCTTGTCCATGTGAAGCTCCTACCGACAACAGCAGGGTAACAAGTGTGTTATATATTCCATGTTCAACCTTCACCATATTCCAACTACAATTAAGTCTCAAGCTCAGTTCCTATCATAACTGTGCCTTAAGTTTAATTCATACTATAATTACGCTACAAACCCAAATCATCTTATCTTCAAGCCCAGAATCTTGTTCCTACATTAATTCCAACTAAACACTAAGATGGAGTCTGCTTTTTTTAGATAAAATAGCCTCCTACCCAATTACTGGCACCATCAAGGTGAAAGCCTAATTAATCATTTAACCATGTTCCTTGTCAACTTACAGTTTTAAGCAAACTAAATTTCTCATTCCCATTAAGAACAATCTCAAATATCATTTCCCCTTGTAAACACCCTCTCAGCATAATTGTAATTATAATAAAGTCCTTTGCTAAATGTTTATTATAACCAAGGAAGTAAAGCCCCCAGCCATATGCTCAATACAGACAAGCCGAGCTCACTCCACATTCCAGTAATCCCCGACCTTATTCCCAATATTAACTAAATCCCTTGGATAATTAAGCGCTGTATATGTACTTGCTTTCGATTTCCCTGTGGTCTCTCTACCACAACATGTTCATACACACCTTTAAATTCTATTACTGCTGGAGAATTTATACAGCACATATTCTAGGGCACAATAATGCTTCTATGCTTAATGAGAATGAAAGATAATTTATTTTACTGAAGAGAAACAATTGTCACAAAGCGTTTACCAATACTCATGATGAATCATATACTAGGATGGCCATTTTTTCATGTTTTATATCCCACCTTGCCACACCATTATAAACAGTACATTTCAAAAACACATTGTTCTAAAAAAGGCAGGAATATAAGAAGACAAAAACAGTATTACACACAGCAGCAATGGTTCAAGCCAGTTCTATTAGCTTTCCGTTACTGCTCAACCAGACTCCAGCACAAAAACGTCAGCTACTCAATACCAAAACGAAGATGATAGAAATTTATCTCAAGCTATTTGTCCTGTCCCCAATTACATTATTTTCTCACTCAATCTTCTGGTGTTTTTCATAAGTTCTTCCTTCAATAAATCATATTTCCTGTAAGCAACCTTTTACCTTAATTATTCCACCTTACTGCTCGCCAATGTCTGCATTAACAGAGGGTTCTTCCCCACCATACTAGAGAAGACTGGATGTAGGAAATGGAAAACATTAAACAATCTGTGTCAAATGTGGTACACCTGTACACACCTGTGGTAACAAACTTCATGTACAGTACTACTGTGTCATATTACTTGTCACATAACACACACACACACACACAAGCTCATCTAATAGCTGATCATTCAAGTATTTTTGCCATCACACTCATCACAAAATCCATTTCTAATAATGTACTGTACCACAAACATCCCTCCCCACTACCTGCTCCTACTCCTGTCACCTAATAAAGGATGAGTACAGTTCTAAGGCTCTGGTAGGAACAATAGCTGGAACTTATCACAATATTTATCTAACACTTTATGACCCACTGAGTTACCTCCACTAATTAATTTTTTATTATAAAGGCCTTTCCCACAAAGGGCAAACATGAACTTACATAAGAATTAGAAGTCTTAAAAAAAACAAAAACAAAAAACACACCCCAGCTTATTTCACCTAAAGATTAACCACCCTAATTCTATCACAGGGCTAGGTTAGCATTAGGTGTGGTTAATCTTCAGGTAAAATTAGCATGGTGTCTGATGTTCCCTTCACCCAAGTACCATATGATTCATTTTCCTAACTTCCTTCCCATTCATTATTTTGATCCTTGGCAGAAAGAGAATATAATAGCAAACATATACCCACACATTCATCAACTATGAAGAATACTTAATCATTCATTTCATCTTGTTGGGAATCAGGAAAAGATCATATTACTGTACATAAATTATTTCCACCACTAATGCCTTAACATAATGTTTGGTCGCAAGGGAATCATGTCATAAAAGTTAGTGCTGGTAACGTGAGAGAACATGGGAATGTGAGAAAGGGATCAGAGAGAGAGAGAGCGCAAGGAGTTCAAAGAGAATCGTGAGCCAAGTGACACAGTTAAAGTTCACTTCTGCACCTGGCAATATCACAAGTGGTGTTATCTGCCCAAGCTACACTGCATACTATCTTCACACACTTCTGGCTAGATCATATACTTGCTTGATGCACTACAATGTACTACATACTCTGCCTATGACCAAGACCCTGACACTGAGAACCTGGTAGGATAAACTCCAGGAAACCATGCTTTGTGGAATGTGGCATAAGCATGAGAAACTATTTGGGGAAAATTATTTGACAACCATACAGCGACACAACCCAGCAACAGCACAGTATATATCATCAAAGAGAAGCACTGTTTACAAAAATAACTAAGAGGACCACATAACATCATGAAAAAACCCATGGGAGAGAAATAAGAGGAAGAAAAGGAGGAGTGGTGGGTGGGTAAAGGGCAACTGAGCTCGAGTATCTAAGTGTATTGATTGTCCTGTGCTTCCCCTGAAGGTGAAGGTGGTGGTAATGGTGGTGGTGGTGGTGGTGGTGGTGGTGGTGGTGGTGGTGGTGGTGGTGGTGGTGGTGGGTGGTGTTGGCTTGTACAGCCCATGGGTGGTTGGTGATGGATGGTGAACATAGTGGTTGGTATTGGTTGTGGTAGTGGCAGAGCAGATAGTGTTACATTGGTGTTTTACTGGGAGTGCATTGTTTTAACTTGGTGGTGGTGGTGTTGGTGATGTATCTAATTTTTTTATTTGTTTTCTGTTAACTATACACTTCTATTTATACTGTACTACAGTTAACTAATGTTGGTGTCAAACTGGACCAACAGTGGTAATGGATTGTCTGACAGTGGTGATGATAAAACTGATAATGTACCTGCTAATGTTGTCATGTACTGTGGTGGTGTTACAGATAGGTGGCAATGAGAGCAGAGGTGGTATCAGCACTCATTAAGCTATGCATATTTCATTACCTGTGATGATAGAATTTTAACAATGTTTCTTTTTATTTTCATTTATTTTTATTTTTTTGTAATTGTTCCAAAGTGGTGATAGTAGTGACTGTGGTGGTGTTAAAGATGTGGTGAGAACAGTATTGGTGGCCTGATGTTGACAGGAAAAAGAGGCACACACACAAGATAGGATAGTGAGGGAGAAAAAGGAGAGCTAGTCAAGCACGAACTGTTGGAGAATAAGGACAAGAAGGGAAGGGACTAATGGAAAGGTGGAGAATGGACAGTACAGCAGTGAAAGTCTGAATAAACTTGAGACCAGTGAGAAAATTAGCTTGTATGAAAAGCTGTTGGGAGGAAAAACATGGAGCTGCAGAGAATGAGAGGAAGCAGGGCAGGTGTGGAGGAGGCAGGGAGTGTCGGAGTACCTGAGTGTATTGATTGTTGCGGAGTCTCCTGGTGGTGTCCCCCCCCCCCATCCTCCTCCCCCACACTGTCCTTTGGCCAGGCCTCCCTTCCACACCCCTATACACAAACCCACTGTATGTAATATACGAGAATAAATTATACTGTACCTCTCTACACTACTTTGTTCTCCATTGTATATCTTCATTCATAAATACTTGAATCATACATCTTCATACATTGACTTACACTCTTTAAAAACCTCTACAAACACTTTTTAAACTCATTCCCCCCATCATAGACAGTCTCACTCATACACCACCATACTGTAAGCAGTTTCTTCCATACACTGTTTCAACATCCTGTTTCCCTCATACATCCTGTATTCCCTTAAAGACCACCAGACATCCTCTTCCTTCATTACATATTCTGTATATCCTATTCATCATACACTTATACATATCCTATCATTCACCACAGTAGTGCACTGGTTGATCACTCTCATACACCATTATACAGGATAAGCCTTGTAGAATTTGGGTTGCACATTACATCCACATATTATTCATACATTTCCTTTAAAATCTGTTTCACTTAAATTCAAAATGCAATTAACCTTTTGAGTACAGTAACTTGCCCACCTATAACACAATGCTACCGTACTCATGGGAACATATAATTAATCTAAATTGGCTAAGGCTTTGCATTAAGGGGAATAAGTTATAAAAATTATAAATATATACATATCTTCCAACACCATTACATATCCTACACACACCTCCTTTCTATCTCCACTCCTCACCATGGTCATACAATTATATGCCTACATACAACACAGGCTGGCACTCTTTACCCCTTCTCTGAGTGCAAGTGTACCATAAGCCATGCTGAGTGATGGCAAATGGTACACTGATATTTGTAAAGAGGTAGGTATGGGAGCATCCACAATGCAATGTCACGCTTCAGCAAGATACAAATAGTAATCAAGCCAGGGAGGGCGATGTATAAACTCATTT